TGAGGACCGAAACTGTTCTCACTTTCAATAAATCGTTTTACATTGTGGGGTTTTCTACCATAGTACCAACACGGCAGTGTGTTTTCACCATTTAGATGATATGGAGGAACAATTTCATTAGCTGTTTATGCTAGTTTCGTATGATACAGCGAAGATGAGCCGATGCTTTTTTTTAATTATATGACTGTAAATTGACTAGGGGTGACTCTGGTTGCTCTTCCAAGCTGCACGCTTCAAGCGAACTCATTTATTTAGTGAAAATTTTCTGCCGCGTCCACATCTATGGCCATTAGCGGCGTATTCAAAATATAGCAATATCGTGGGACTTGGGGGTGAAGCCTCTGGGTAAGATTTTTTTTGTTTTTGCTTCATAAGTATGTTTGCGTATAGTGGTTTGCAAGGGAGGTTAAACATATGGTGTTTTATGATGGATAAGTATGGAAGATGCAGGTAGAGAACAAGGGGATGATACAAAATAGTAACAGGGAATTGGTACTGGAAGACCTGTTAGGAAGGTTTCTTGGAAACCGACAATGGATGGGTTATAGGAAGATATTTATTGTTTTTTTCTGCTGCGTCAACATCCAAAGTCATTAGCGGTATTCAAAACAGTGATAGCATGAAGCTTGGGGGCAAAGCCCCCCAAGTATGGAAGTCCTACATTACATCAAAGAATAAGTGTGCTATGGTTAAGTATAGTTGCGAATAGGGCCAAGATTGAGTTATTGATTACGGTAAAGTTACAAGTTGAACAGTACTGGAGGGTAGTATGATAGTGAAAAGGGAAGAGGTAATGGTCGTTAGAAGAGGAAGGCGGCGTTAAGGGAGTAGAGAGCATTATGATAAAGTATATTGGCGAAAATGGCAAAACTTTGACGACAATTAGGATTAGTGGACAGAACAAGGGGTTGAAGAAATGGAAAAGGAAAGACGACCATGCAAAGTTAGTTGAGGCGAGGGTTGAGGACCAAGGTAGAGGTGGGCTTCAGTCACCGTCTCTTACCCCCCCTCCCCCTCCACGTCAACAACGAGCAAGAAATTGTGGGGTTATAGAAAGATAGGATAGGCTGAAGTTGGCGAAAAGCGTTTTTTGGGTCGTGCTCGGAGTTTCGGAAGAGTCGAGTGGGGAGGCTTGGGAAACGAAGGATTCTTTATGGAGAGGTGATGAGGGTATTTGAGTAGTCGATTGTGTAGGCATAAGAGTGGAAGTGATGGGTGAAGATGGGGTGGAACATTTAGTTTGTCTGATGAGGAGTTGCGGATATAGGCGTATCTTGATTTGAAATGGAAAAAAGGACTGGTTAATGGTTAATGGTTAAAAGCAAAATAAATGTGCTAGACATCTAAGGTCATGTAGCACTATAGTAAATGTTAGTAAAGGGTGGTTAAGTTAGTGATTAGTTGTCAAAGCTGGGCAAAGGAATTGGTGAGTGAATGGGTTAATGGTTAATGGTTAATGGTTAAAAGCAAGATAAATGTGCTAGACATCTAAGGTCATGTAGCACTATAGTTAACGTTAGTGAAAGGTGGTTGAGTTAGTGATTAGTTGTCTAAGCTGGGCAGCAAGGAATTGGTGAGTCAAAGGGTTAAGGTCGGGTGTTAGATTAGATAAAGGATATGTATGCGTTTGAGGAAAGAGAACAGGTTGTTGATGCAGAAAGTGTGGGATTCTGTAAGGATGTCTGATATGTTGGGAGGTCGGTGAAGGGAGGATAGGTGGGGGAAAGCAGAGGTACGGGCTGTTTCAAAACGTGGGCACGACAATAGGATGTGTACGATTGAAACGGGAACATTACATAAGGAACATAGGGGTGGATCAGATTGTGACATCAGTAGACTGAAATCACTGTGATCCAACGATGAAGGAAGATACGAATAGCTGTGCAAGGGACATTGGTTTGAAAGGCTGGTGTGATAAGTATGTATTTCTGATTGATAAGTATGGACGAGACATAAAGGGAATGTGGGGAAGAGACAAAATGATAATTGGGGATTGGTATTGGAGGATGTGTAAGAAAGATTTCTTGAAGGTATACAATAGATGGGTTATAAGAGGAAAGGATATGACGAAGGTCAGGTCTGTGGGAGCGAAAATCGCGAATATTCCAATGAAGGATAGTTATACTTTCGTTGATTTAGTGTTATAGATTGCAGTACGTGTTGGATATTTTGAGGGGGAAGCAGCTAGAGGGTGGGATAAGGACTGAGAGGTTTGAGATGGGAGATATGTGGGAGTTGGTGTTCTATCAGGAGGGGTATTAGGAGATAGAGGGTCTGAGGAAGGGGATACTTGTGACATAAGGGATTCACGTGTGTATCCAGGAGGGAGTGGAAGGGATAGAGGGGATGGTGGGAGGGTTAATGTGGGCGGGGTTGGGGTCAGGGTCGGGGGGGATGGGCTGTGTTGGGAGGGGGTAGGAGGATAGGGTGTAGGGGGGATATCGTTAGGAGGAGGATGGATATCAGCAGTTACTTGGAGTGTGGAAGGAGCAGGGGTTGTAGGTTGAGTGTCAGTTTGCATTAAGTAATCTTGAATATTTTCAATAGTTTCTTCTAAGGAGTTGGTTGGGGAGTTTTGGGGGATAAAGGATTTCTTGTGAGGGGGAGAAGAGAGGACTGGTATCTCAAGAGTAGGGGCAAAGGATGGTGGAGGTGATTGTGTGGTAGGGGAAGAGGGGGTGGAACGTTTGTTTTGTCTGTTACGGGGAGTGCGAGGAAGGAGAGGGGAAGGTGTTGGGGTTGTAGTGGTGATTGGAGTATCTGTAGTAGAGATTGGAGTTTCTGGATTTAGGATGGCAAAAGAGTTTGACTGGGGAAGGTAGGTGGGGTTAGTGGGGGGGTTAGATGTAGGAGGGGTGGGTTTAGGAGAAGTGTTAGAATGAGCAGTATTACTGGAGTAAGGAGTAAGAGAGAATCCACGTCGACGTGCTTCCTGTCTGGCTTCACGCAGTGTGAGTCCGAGTTTGAATCTGAGAGTTGCTACCTCAGATTCAAATTTGTAGGTGGGACAGCCCCTATAAAATACATTATGGGGGCCGCCACAGTTGGCACATGTGCGTGATTGTGCAGAGCAGTTAGATCGGGTATGGCCAGGTTGGGCACATAATGGGCATCTGGCTGTGGAACGGCAGTGTTTGGCTGGGTGTCCTAGTCGCCAACAATTTTGGCACTGACGTGGAGGAGGTTGGTATGGACGAACAGGGAGGGATTCTCCTCCTATGTAGACGTTAAAGGGAAGGTCATGTCTACGGAAGGTAATTTTGGCTATGTTAGTGGGTTTCTTTCGATGACCTCTGGGGGGGATGGAGTAGCATTGTACTGATGTTGCATCGTAGTCTGTGAGACAGGCAAGTAGATCTTCTCCACAATCTGACCAATCTTTGTCATAGATTGGGCAATTTGCTGGTGTGATTGAGACTGTTCCGGTGCAAGTATTGAGGGTTGGATGGGGTTCTGCTAGGATGGGGTTACCATATAGGTCAGTTAGTTTTGTTAATGCTATGGCTTGGTTTTCGGATGTTACTGTTACAAGACGGGAGCGGTCGGGTCGGCTACGGAAAGACTTTACCTACTTGTTTTTGGAGGCATTGTTGGAAGAGAAGGGTGTTGTCAGAGTAGGGAGCTGTGGGAGGGATCATGAAAAATCGGTCCTATTTGGCTGCACTGAAGAGAGTATTCAAGATTGTTTTAGAGATAGGGGTGGTAGAAGGGCGAGGGCGTGACGAAGATGGAGTAGTGTTGATGGAGGTAGTGTTATGGAGAGGTGGGCTATAAGGCTGTAAGGTATTAATAAGGGAGGATGGGGTGGTTGATGTTGGAGGTTTTGGGGGTAGAGGTGTTGAAGTTGGGCATGCTGGGAGAGTGGAAATGTTCCTTGAGGGTTGATTGTTGGCTACTGTACTAGTAGGCATTGGTGAAGGGGCAGTTATTGCAGTGTTCGGAGCCGTGGTCAAAGGAGAGCCTGGGGTCGGGGAATCGGGTGGGTTTACTTCTTTGGGGCTATTTGATAAAGGGGTAAGCCTCATTGCCCCTAACAGTGGGGATATATTTTCATTACTGGTCATGGTAAGCCTGGTTATGTTGGGGATAAAAACAGTCCACCCCTCAGGGTCCCCTTGAGGGGTAAGGGCTAGATACTAAATCAGGGGAATACCGTGCCCATGGCTGCCTCAGGCCGTTCAGGACTGGCACAAAGCAGAGCTACAGGCTGCTTCAAAACGTGTGCATGATAATAGAATTTGTGAAACTGAAAGAGGAACATTACGTACGGAGCATAGGGGTGGATCGGATTGTGACATCAGATTGGGGTGTGTTAGACGGGTGTGGAAGAGGATGCTTGTGATATAAGGGATTCACGTGTGTATCCAGGAGGGAGTGGATGGGATAGAGAGGATGGTGGGAGGGTTAATGTGGGTGGGGTTGGAGTTGGGGGGGATGGGCTGTGTTGGGAGGGGGTAGGAGGGTGTAGGGGGGGTATCGTTAGGGAGAGGAAGATGGAGTGGTGTGGAGTGAGGTAGTGCTGAAGGGGAGGGCAATAAAGTCCAAGACTTGCAATGGGGGAGGGCGATGCAGGATATGGAGACTATTGTGTAGATGAGGTTGAGGAAAGTCAACCTCACACAATAGTCGCTGAGGTGGTCGCTTTATAACTGGGTAGATGATTCAGGATGGGTAAGTGGACTGCACGTGTCGAGGGGGGGTGGAGTAGCAGTGGTCACGTGGTCAGGAGAGTAAGGAGATGGTAAACCAAGAGTTAGATTTAGCCATCTCGGTATTGGCTGTTGCTTTGGAGAAATATCTACCTATATCTAGTACTACACGTTCTTTTCTCGCTGGTCCTTTTTGTATATTTGTATTTTGTTCTTTGACTTTGAAATTGCAAAACCCGTTTGTCATAATGGGTTTAAATCACAAGCAACTTCAAATGCCAAGCTTTCATCTCTAGAAACTTCTTTATTGCCAATGATCGTCTTCCAAATACAAGGTAAATTAAAGAAGTATTACAGCAGCTATTATTTATTTCTGTTTACCAGGAGGGTCCATCAGCTGCGCCTCCCCAGTCATCACCAGCTCCAGTAACTGGTGCAGCAGCCCAATCATCACCCTGAAAGGAATAGGAGGTTAACCCACTATAATAAACAGTAGATGGCTATTTCCGAAGATGTTGGGAATAAAAGACTTCCTTTAAATCAAAGAAAACGTTTAACCTTTTCCATGAACACTTACAGTCTGACCCCAGTCATCAACAGTAGCTGCTGGTGCAGCAGCGACAGCAGCAGCAGCCACGGGGGCAGCAGCAGCAGCGGCGGCCACGGGGGCAGCAGCCCCAGCACCGGCAGCAGCAGCCACGGCATCGGGATCATTTGCGTCAGCGCCCCAGTTCTCGGTGGCAGGAGTCTCGACCTTGGCGGCCTCGGCCTCAGCCTTGGCGGCCTCAGCCTTGGCAGCTTCTTCCTTCTCTTGCTCTTCAGCATCCCTGTAAAAAAGAAACCAAGACTTTATAATAAGAAAATTTTACTTTACCTTTCAGAGGTAAGAAACAAGTAATGGCTTTTCATTTATACATACTACTTCTCCCCCACCCTCATCCCAAATCCCAACAAACTACCTTTTAGCAACCAGTGGAGGTGCAATCTCCATCTACCTTCAGAAATAACCCCATTAATCAGGTTGAAATGACACTGCCAGGCGTTGTGTCAGATGTAGTGTGAAACACCCTATTGGAAAATGCCTAAAATCAATAAAATAGGTTCTGAACAGAAATATGATAAACCTTAGGAATATCACAACTTTCAGACTAACTGTAGATTAATCTATGAAGATAAAGCCCCCAAGCACAAGTGGTGAAACCCTCTTAAAAACCTGCAAGTAGAACCATGCTCACTAATGTACCAAGGAAAACCATACAAGAAAACTGGTCATACCAAGGCAGAAAATGCAATTCCCCTTACCAAATCGCTACCACTTTGCCACCGATGACATTAAAACGTGTATATGCTCAATACCAATGAACCAGATGTACACTTGTATGCATTTACTTCCCTTTCAAAATTTTTGCTAGTTATCAGGCTACTCAAATTGGAATAGTAAAGCTATTGAGTATCTCATTGAGCAGTACTGATAATCAAAGCAACTTAATGGTACATGTATAGATCCCAAACTGACTAGTATGCATTCTTGGGAACTATTACTAACCCACTAATAGTCATATGGGTAAGAATTTGTGATGCAAATCAATTCCTAACAATATTCTCATATTAAAATCTTTGTTGTATGTTTTTAGATAGCTGCAGGACTGTCAGTTGCTAGAATACATTGCTCAATATCTTTATGCTTTATTTTGGCAGACCATTGCTTTTTGTGGAATTTTTCATTAATAAAGTATTTTATTTCGGGAGCATGTCAATCTTTAAGCACATGACTATTACTTTGAAAACTGCTAAAATTAAGCACAGCAGTCATGCATTTACTGCTCTTGAAATCTTAACCAACATGTTATTAATTTACTAAAAGGGGACCCACTTTACATGCTCCTAAATGTCCTATGTATACCATATAAAAATTTCCACACTGGGGGGAGGGGGGGGATGGCAGAAAAGGAAAGTGATGGGGAGGAGACACCCACGTGGCAAGCTGTGGGGGTGCAACTTGTGACCTATTATTTTAGAAACTCAATTTTACATTCCCTGACTTATTAATAATTAGGATATTCTAATGGAATTTGCATTATTTCAATGAGGATTCAATGAGATTTGTAATAGTTTAAGGATAACAAAATGCTAGAGATCTCGGAAATTAAAAATCTTGTTCTATAGTTTCTATTAGGGATCTAGAAAGTGTACCTGGTATTTATATTTTTCATTATCACCAACAAATAACTTCAAAATACAAATCTAATCTCTATCAAGCAATTATTTAGCAGTGATGCCCAACAATTATTTTAATATTTTTTTTGTCGCTTTGAGAAAAGATCTAATATCCAAATTTCATAAAACTGGGTCACTTTCATCAAATTTGTTTGTTCCTGGAATTTTCATAAAGCAATGAGCTACGTAATGATCTATGGTGTCAAAACCAAATACAAAGTTATATTCCACCAGTATGGTCCTTTCCAATATATAAAGGACAAGTACTATTTGTAAAATAAAGACACTTAGTGAACATTGGTAATTCTATCTGTGACCTGTTCAAATGAACTTTGTTCACAAGTCTATTTGCTTGACATTCGGCAAAACAATTATGTAAAATTTCTTCCTTTACATTAACTCTACATTTCCAGATTTATCAATTAAAGATTACTTTGTACCTTTGCTTGTAACTAAGCTTGAGGAAACTCACCTGTAGAAGAACAGATCAGGCATGACATCTGTCTCCCATGGCAGGTTGCGGGAGATGGTTCCACGCAGACGAAGAACCTCACGGGCCAACATCCACCACATCAGACCAATGGAATGGGGGCTCTGGAAAAAGATCAGAGTATTTGCCAAAAATGCTCCACTGAAGTCTATTCTCACAAATCAACAAAACATTTCAACCCATTGGCAGTAGGTTATAGGTCACATCATAATGGAGATCCAAAGTGTCAGTACATGCCAAGTCTATTCTAAACATCTGTGTCCAGCAAATAATGGGAGGAAAAAAACATCTCAAAGTGTAGTGGGGTCTGTGACTTAGTATAAAAATTGATTTTCGCAAAGCATGAGTTACAATTACAACTGAAGCTGATAACTTACCCTGTTGTTGCAAGGAATGGCAATGTCAACATAGCGAAGTGGGGAGTCCGTATTGCAGAAAGCAATAACTGGAATGCTGACATAGGAAGCCTCAGTAATTGGCTGCCTGTCCGAGATGGGATCAGTTACCACAAGGAGACGAGGCTCACGGAAAGCAGCCTGAAAGATACAGTGAATTAATGTGAATTCTTTAAAAGCAAACATCTTATTAGAGATATAGATAATCATATTTCCCTTCTTGTCTTGTTCTACATCATCTCCCAAATCACCTGAATCTGGTTGGTAAAGGCGCCTGGGGTGAAGCGGCCTGCAATGGGGGTTGCGCCAGTATAACGGGCAAACTTCAGCACAGCACGCTGGCCCATGGGGCGGGAAGAGATGGTGTACACATCTGCTGGGTTCTCAATGGCTGCAATGGCACGGGCAGCCAGCAAGATCTTCTCGTATGTCTTGCGCAGATGAATGATGTGCACACCTGTAAGATAAATAACAAGTAATATTAGAAAACGAGTAGTGCCAAGATGAAAGGTCTCGTATGTTTCTAACTAAAAATTCTTTACACTGTATGAAATTGTCCTTTATGTATAGCAACACATTAAAATGAGAAAAAGGAAAAAATGTTTACCATCCTGGCGACGCTTGAAAACATATTGTTCCATTTGGAAGTTCATGTTGCTGGATCCGAGATGAGTGGACGCGGCCAGGAACCGCGTCACATCATTCTCTTCCAAAGCCATAACACTCAATCCTCCCGACATGATCTGGAAAGGAAATATATCAAAGTAAATACAAGAAAAATATCAATATTAAATAAAATCTCAACTGACATTTTAAATTAGTGTAAAGTTTTAAAAGTATATTACTAAGGACAAAATACATTTTACTATGCATGAAAATTGATGTTCATTTTTTTTTCCACCTTTCTGTTTACCAGTCATTGGCAATAAAGCTCCCTTAATGTGGTCATTAACTGATAAAATAACTAGGCAAAGACGAAGAAAGCACATTAATTTTAGGTCAAAATGTTTCTAGGTTATTGCCATTAACCCCTTCGTGCCAGGTGACGCCAATCGGCATGTAAACAAAGAGCTCGAAAGCTGGCGTGCAGCCAAACGAGCCTACTCACGCGCTCAAAGTCAGCGCGCCGCCTTTGTTTGTTTAAGCATAGTTTTTTTTTTCTTTTGTACACCCGGCGCCATTGGGTTAAGTACCTTCTTTCACTTGTATCCCTAAATTATCCCCAATAACTTTCATGCTCTCCCCATTATCAATCCCATAATAATGGCCTTTGACTATAGAAGTCAAGGACCACCAGTCAAGGCTTTGTCAGTTTTACAAATATACGTGTAAAATAAAATTGAACAATCTATACAAGACTAAAATTCTACATATAAAAAATAAATTTATTATAACAGACTAAGGGTATACATCAGATGTATTCCTAGTTGCCTGTCTAACATGTATTATCTATAGAGCTCTGATTTAGACTATGAATAAATGCATATTCTAAACAATAAATGACAAATTTAAGCAGAAATTATTGACTGATAATGATCTGGATTACCAACTTTGCCGCAAATGATATGAATTGGACACTAGTGTTAGGATTTACATTGATTTGAGTTAGTAATCACCAATTACCGGTATATTATCATGGAAGAATTTATACAAAGTTTTAATACAAGCATTAGATTTGCAAAATATAAGTGAAGTGCATACAATGCTATGGTTAACAAGTTACAGACATCTAAAGCCTAGGATCCATTATCACATTCACATGGTTTGCAGTACTGCTTAACAATTAGAAAATCTCTCAAACTGGTTAAGAAAAAGGAACATTGAAAAGTTCATGACAAGTAAATAAGAAGCATAGAGCCTGTGCAAACATGTTCGCATACAGCCGACCTAATAGTAGCCACCCAGCTAGAGAGGCTGCTCGCATAAGCCTCATGTCCAGATTTTTTGGGATCCAATTGCCGTGGCACAACCAGATCCAAAGGGTTAAAGGATTTTAAAAAATATATATATATGACGTGGAGATTGGGACTTGGTCTTTGGCAAGTGTTCCTTTGTTGTAAAGAATTACCAAAAATGTAAACAATGTGGCTACAACCAAAACTTTTTTGGTATTTGTTACCGAGGATAATGCACCCTCTAGATATGAAGTCCAAAAAGCCAGGCTATCATGCAAACTTAAATTTCCAAACCTAGCTTATCCTACCTTTTATTTATTCCCTAGACATGAGGGCAATACCCTTATACATCCCTCCCCCCTTTACTAGCACTTCATGCAAAATTAGAGAAAATGGGACAGAAACTCGGAACTGTGTGAGGGTGTTGTGGAGTTTGAGCGGTGATATGCAGCACCTATTTTCATCATTTCACGGTAAATAGGAGGCTACTACAACTGTACCAGTGTTTATTATTCTATTTCTTATGCTCTATGAGTGTACATTTCTCTTTGTGCATTACTCACATTACCCATTTTATTTATTCCCACAACCAGCATACACACAAATATCAAAAGTAACTGGAGATGCAAAACCAACAGATCCTCAACTTAGACGAGAGAGACCCCATTTTGTGGACTACCTCAAGTATAGTCTTCTTCAAAGCCCACCCAGAGGCAAATAAGCAGTTACATTCACTGCTTTCTACACTCAATTCTACTCTTCATTTATATAAACCAAGCTATAACCTTCTCGGGAAGATGGTCCTTTGCCCCCCCCCAGATAAGTTGGCAAATTTAAGTAGGATTTTGGGAATTACAGCAGAGATGCACGCACCACAGATCAAGTCCCCACTCCATGTCAGACAATTTATTACACAACCTAAGTTGCTGTGACTGGGTATACTATACCAACATCCCCCTTGAAAACACTGACTTCACCTTGATATGCATGGCAAGAAAGAGCTGAAACTGAGGAGCAACGACTGGACTTGCACTGTGAGCGGTACTTTCTATAATATATCTTTATTTGTAAGGCTACCTATCGTGTCGGTAGATTATTTCTTGTACTGAGAATTTCAACTTTGTCCTATACAAAAATATCATCAATTTGCCCTAGCTTAGTGCATCCATACTGTTAAAGTTAACTCAGAGATTAACTTTGACCATGCTGACACACTAGTGTAGTGCATCATAGTAAACTAAAATTTTGCATGTTTGTCTTTTTTAGACATTCCCTAATCTAGTCATATTTTCCATTTTTCCATTCACCTTTTGTATAATCAGATTTTACCCGATTTCAACATGGTCTGCTAGTTACAGCCATGTGGCAGTACACTAGAGAGTGTAGAGCAGGAAGTTCTGCTACTTGCAGCAAACTCCCGCATCCAACTTCTGCACGTTGCCAGAGTATATGACACCAAGATATTTCTGATACCCGGCACAGTTGTGATAATATTTTGGGTTAATCTTTAGAGTTTGGACACACTAATGTAGTGCAAATCAAAGAGGTTATTCTTGTTGGGGATTAAAAGTTGTAGTCATTTTACATGAAAAAATCTTCAGACAGGAAAGGTAATGCAGAAAGCACGGCCCACAACCAAGTCCACTCAGTGCTCCCATGCCATGCCTAGCATGGTGAGGTGAGATTGTTCCGCTGAGTGTGTTGGGGTGTAGAGGTCCCCCCCTTTTGTAGTACCCATAGGAACTTAGATAACCGAGTAACATGTACTTGGGGACTTAGTCTCTGGCAAGTGCGTCCATATTGTAAAGAATTACAGCAGTTAGTAAATCCTACTTATTGATTAAAAGTACAAAATCTTATGATAATTATCTGTACTGTGGCAAGACAAGGATTCTGATTAATGCAATATCAAACAGAGCCAACAATCCTTACATGATTATGCCAGTACTAGGGGAGTATATTGGGGAAACTGCAGGTAAGAAAGGGCATCATCGGTAGCCTACAGGTATAACGCCAACTTACAAAAATGCTTATAAACACCCAGTCCATCCTTTGATTAATTTTAAGGACAGTCATGAGCCCCACCTAACCTAAAATAGTCACAGAGCCTCTGCATCTGGATCCCAGCATGTTTCATACTCCCAAGCCAGAAAGAATTCTCAAACTGCATTCAATGCTGGTACATTAAAGGATGCTCGAGACACTTTTATTGATATAACCACAATCTTTATACTTTCACAAGTCTTTAGATCTACATTCATTTAATAAAATTCACGATAAGAATTTCAATCACTTGATAACTGGCCGTTAAAATACCAACATGTGCTACCCTTGTAATTCATAACATAGGGTGTAACTAGATATTCTGACTAGGGCAAAACATCAGAATCATCTATGATAGAAATCAAACTAGTATAAACAAACTAAATCGTGCAAGCCATTCATGTTTGTTTGTTTGTTTGTTTTTTTTTTTTTGAACAGCATTGCTTGTTCGAAATTACTAAACATTCCTATTTATTTACATCAACAGTAATATATGTTCCATTAATGAACATTCTTAATTCATAACAGATTTTCCTGGTCTGATTTATTTATTTCAATATTTACAAACGAATTACTATTACGATATTGATGTTACCGATACATAACCTTAGAGAAATATTCGAAATCTGCTTGAAAAGAGAAATCGGTAAACAGATCAGAAGAAAAAACGAAGAAAACAACAAGCCCTTGGGAATATCTCGTGCTGGAAATTTTAAGACACTGATCACTTGAAATCGGAAGAATGTATGAATAATATTTCTAAACGTCACTCTAATCGTAGTCTGAATAAAAATCCCTTTAATGAATAACGCACTTTGGAAGATCTCGAACCTCGTCCTTTACGAAGAACTAGATAACCACGAGTTCTAAGTGACAAACTGTACAATGTGGCTATTACGGCATAACGCACCCGTTTGTAATTACCGACGTGTATATCTCGACCCTAGAATTCGAGAGAAAACCAAACCGCTAAAGGAATTACGACCGAATAGCTCTTAAACACCAGCGAAATGAAGTCACATGTTATCTGGTGTTTCCACGTCCGGGGAATGTTTACATCGCCTCCTCCGCGACACCCAACACACTTGATTTTTATATCTCCTTTCATCTCCTTTCCGTAACGACATAATCACCCCGAAACCACCTCAGCAATACAAGCGATAATCCAAAATGGCAATGGTCCGGTTAAATCACACACACAAGCAGTACGAGAGGCCACAGAAACGAAAAATGTCGAGACTCACGGCGGTTGTGTTCACGCCCGAGGACTCTCACGAAGAAGGAGCGAAAACAACATCGGCGACGCTAATGGTTCTCTTTTACAAACTTTTCTCGCTTTTCGTCTTTTCATCGAACTTTTGGCCTTGTAGATAATTTTCTTGTAATTTTTCGTTATCAAAAACATATAATTATGGTATCAAAACTTATTGAATTAACGATATTGAGTTAATTTTATTGGTGACAGAAAGCGTTATTTTGGATTCAAGGGATGACTATTGTAAACGAAATTATTCACGATGTATTATTATTTTTTTTTTATGGCTGTTCACACTACACTTGTTTTGTTTATAGTCATAATTATTGTGCTTATAACCATCATCGATATTTAAGCTTTTTCAAGAGATCCAAAGCTTCTGTTTTGTCCAAGCTGCTTGTGATGTTTTGTTGCCGTTATGATGTTGATGGAAGTGTTATTATCGTTATTATCACCATTGTTATCATTATTGCCATCATTATCGTTATTATTATTATGATTATTGTTATTATTGTTATTGTTATTATTATTATTATTATTATTATTATTATTATTATTATTATTATTATTATTATTATTATTATTATTATTATTATTATTATTATCATTATTATCATTGTTCTTATTGTTTTGTTGTTGTTATCACCATTACTATTACTATTATTATCATCATTATTGTTATCTAACTATTACCATTACCATTATTATTATCATTATTATTATTGTTTTTATCATTACCATTATCAATGTTGTGGTTGTTGTTATTTTCATTATCTTTATTATTATCATTATTATTACTATTACCTCTACCATTACTACTACTATTATCATTATTATTATTATTATCATTGTTATAATAATCATCATTGTTGGTATTATCATTATCTTCATTATCATTATCATCAATGTTGTTTTTACGATTGTTGTTATTATCAATACCATCATTATCATTATTGTTTTTGTTGTCGTTTTAGGTATTATTATCATTATTCTTGTTATTGTTGCTTTTGTTTTTTTCGTTGTCATCAGTTTTATTATTGTTATTATCATTATCATAATTGTTACAAATGTAATTAATATCATTTCTATTTACATTGTCTTTGTTGAAGGGTCTTTATTACTATTATTACTCTCATCAACTTAGTACATTATCATTATTATTGTTGTTGTTGTTGTTGTTGTTGTTGTTATTTTTATTATTACTATTATTATCTTGTATTATTATTATTATTATTATTATTATTATTATCATTATTATTATTATCCTTATCATATTATTATTATCATTATTGTTATTATTAGTATTATTATTATTATTAATTATTATTATTATTAGTATTATTATTATTATTATATTATTATTATTATTATTATTATTATTATTATTATTATTAATTATTATTATTATTATGATTATTATTATTATTAGTATTATTATTATTATTATTATTATTATTATTATTATTATTATTATTATTATCATTGTTCTTATTGTTTTTGTTGTTGTTATCACCATTATTATTACTATTATTATCATCATTATTATCATTATTATTATTATTAATTATTATTATTATTATCATTATTATTATTATCATTATTATTATTATTATCATTATTATTGTTGTTGTTGTTGTTGTTGTTATTTTTATTATCATCAGTTTTATTATTGTTATTATCATTATCATAATTGTTACAAATGTAATTAATATCATTTCTATTTACATTGTCTTTGTTGAAGGGTCTTTATTACTATTATTACTCTCATCAACTTCATTAATTCTTTATAATTATTGTTAGTACATTATCATTATTATTGTTGTTGTTGTTGTTATTTTTATTATTACTATTATTATCTTGTATTATTATTATTATTATTATTATTATTATTATTATTATCATTATTATTATTATTATTATCATCTTTAGCATATTATTATTATCATTATTGTTATCATAATAATAACTATTATTATTGTTACTATTATTATTATTATATTATCATCATTATTATCATTATTATCATTTGACTACTATCATTGTCAGCATTATCATTATCACCGTCATTATTATCATGATCATTATTGTTATTTTATCTATTTTTGCCATCATCATTATCATCATCATCATATCTATTATTACCATTATCATTATCATCTTTATTATTATATAATAATGATAGTAATAATAATAACAATAATGATAATGTGATATTAACAATAATAATAATAATAATAATAATCATAATAATAATAATAATAATAATAATAATAATAATAATAATAGTAATAATAATAAAAGTAATAATAATAATAATAATAATAATAACAATAATAATAATAATAATAATAATAATAATAATAATAATAATAATAACAATACTACTACTACTACTACTACTAATAATAATAATAATAATAATAATAATAATAATAATGATAATGATAATAATAATAATAATAATAATAACAATAACGATAATGATAACAGTGATAATGATAATAATAATAATAATAATAATAATAATAATAATAATAACGATAGCAAAACTGATAATAATAACAATAACAATAACAACATCCACATCATTCTCATTATAAGTGACATCGCTACAGGGCCGACGGGGCGTTTGACCCGTTTACAAAGCCCCCGGCACCTGTTGATTCTGTTTGATGTTAGATGCTTTATGTGCAGGCATAAATAGATATTCTATTAGAGTTCAAAATAAGTGCATAAATGTTTTATTTAGTCATATGTAAGTTTGTTTGTTTGTCTGTCTGTTTGATTAATCAGGCTCCCAAATATCCCACATTATTCTCTCGGTATCAATATCTCTACCAAATATATACTATTATCAGCCATTTTTATCATTACTGCTATTTCTATGTTTCTGTTATCATTATCACCCTCATTATCATCACTCTCTTATTCATACAATTGTTATTAATCATAATTATATATTATTACTATTATTCCTTATCATCATCATCACATCGTAAGTGCTACAATCAATATTCTTATTAATATTCTTCCCAATCAGTATTCTTGTTAATTATTATTCTTACCAATCAATATTTTTTATTAAATGACATTCCTACCAGTGATCATCATCATCATCATTATTATCACCACAATTATTGTTATTGATGTTATTATTTATCATCATATCATAACTATCTACATTAATATATTCATTATCGTTGTTATTACTATATGTTCTTACCATTAGCATCATAACTATCATTAACATTACTGTTATTTTCATTGTTGATGTTATCTTGAAATGAAAATAGTAGTGTTGCCATTCTTTATTTTATGTATCTTCATCTTTGTTATAATCCTTGCCACTATCATCAATTTTATCACCTGTATTACTTTCAAAAATCGAATTATCATCATTAATGCATTTGTCATTATTAGTATAGTCTTTAACATTGGCATTGTTGTTGCTGTTACATCATTGTCCCTACCATTGTCATAACCCTTTTTGTCAATATCAATATCAGTATATTATCATCAGTACCTTCCTCATTATCCTCACCACTATTACATCGTTATTGTTGACATCATTATCCCCATTGCAGGTTGCACTGAGCCTGGCACGCAGGGAGGAAGCGGGCCAGATGTTTCTCTCTCTTCCATCTTCGTCAATCTAGACTGCAGTTGGTGACCCACATGTACGCCCACCTTTGCATCCGCCCGCACCGCCGCACTGTTGCACGTTGCTCACCCTAGCACCCTCGCCGCCGCCACGTCCTCAGAGCACTCCGGCGGCTGGTGGCAACACGACAGCCAGCCTCGCCGGGCCCTTCCTGTAGCCGCCGCAATTGGCCCATTCATCGGAATGGACTCTGATATTCATTGTCATCCAGTGCATGCGGAGAGAAGTGTGGGATTCGCAGTGTCCGCTGTCCTTCGCCTCGCTGTCGCAAACGGCCGCGCTTCCGCCTCTCGAGTTTGCACAATGGATGCTGCACTTGCACATGGCTCCGATCCGAGTTCAATAATAACGCCTGTTGAGTTGAATGGACTGATGTTCATTCAAAGTTACGAGAATCCTCCTCTGTTCCCGCCTGCCCGGGGACAGACCCTTGCAGTATATGAGCACCGTTACCGAACGTGATGGCTGGAATATTAAGTTCGTGAACAAGCATAAATTAGCGGAAAGGCCATAGATGTCGGCTCAAGCAGATGCTCCATGATTGCGTTAGAAGTGTAGGCAATTGAATTAAGTTTACGCTTCCCAGCCTATGAAGTATTTAGATTAGTATAAAAGAAAGCAGAGACGAAAGTAGATCAGTTTTCTTACTCACCGAATCAGTTCACCACACGGAAAAATCTGATTAAGCTGATTAGCTTAAAAAAAACAACTCTAGCAACCCTGCCCAGCGGTCTTCTGACCTCCATCACATTTCGTCAGTAATTCCTGTTTTCCTCCTGAGCAATTTTCCCCAAGAACATTTTTTTTTTTTTTTTTTTTTTTGTAAAATACGGTTCTCGAAACTAGTCCTCCTCCTTACAAAACGTCCTGAAAAACTAACTATTCGCCGAGATTGGGAATTAGACAAAAATTTGCTTCGTAACTACACTAGGGAAGTTTACGATAGTAGCATTTTTCCGATTTCTTTCACCCATGATACAATACTTCCTTTAAGATTGATAGCTACTATAGCAAAGTACAGTGTTTATGAGTTTATAGATAATTGCTGTGAGATATTCCATTTTTTTCTGAAATTCTTTATCTGTCGTTGAGACATTTTCCCTCTGTTGCTAAATGAAGGAGGAATGTTTACATTATTACGTTAGACTTAAACACGTTGTAGATTATACTCTCTCTCTCTGTATCTCTCTGTCTCTCTGTCTGCCTGTCTCTCTCTCTCTCTCTCTACCTCTCTCTGCCCCCCCCCCCCCCCCTCTCTCTCTCTCTCTCTCTCTCTCTCTCTCTCTCTCTCTCTCTCTCTCTCTCTCTCTCTCTCTCTCTCTCTCTCTCTCTCTCTCTCTCTCTCTCTCTCTGCACACACACACACACACACACACACACACACACACACAC